GAGATAACTATAGATTAGATTTTCAAGTTTTAAGAATGATATAATTGAATACATATAGATTTAAATGTAAGGATATATTAAGTTTGTTTAGAAAGTAAGGAATTAATGAATTACTATTAAGAGATCTCGTTATGATGAAGATTATCAATTCCCAGTGGAGTGTAAGAATAAATTTGTGTTTGTATAATACATGTATCGGTTAAGTATTTTCTAGGATAAGTTTTTGCTTGATTAGTTACTGCTTAACGAGAATAATTTAATATTATAATTACTTGATTAAGTATAGGGTATTTTTCTGTCCATTTTCTTGATATGTATTTTAGTTTTTAATGGAGATATTCTTAAGTTTACCTTAGTAATTGTGTAAGGACATTAACTTAGTATTTTAATTGCTTGGTTTATGTAGTTCATCTTGCTGGAATATGAATTTTACTATTTTCTAAGAATGATTTGCTCTAATTTCATAATTAATAACAGCTTGCTTAAATTGAAATTATGTTGTTGTTTGCATATTAACATTTAGAGTGGCAAACTACTTGTTAAAATTAAAAGCTGGATATTCTAGGTGGTATAGTATTTGTATTGGAATACAACGAACTCGGATGTCAGACACTAAGGAGATAATATATAATGATTGATGAAAAAGGGACAACAACAATTTACCTGTCCTTATTGCCAAGCTCAATACGTTGGATCTATCTCAAGATGATTACGGCACCGCATCCTAGAACACAGAGGCAAATCCTTCAGGACTGGTTGTTCGCAATTCTCGGCAATAAGACACTCACTACTCCAGTCACATCCTTTCTCTAACACAGAATTGAATATTCTATCTTCCCATTCATCCCACCCAGACTTTATCATTTTAGAATCCTTACATACTCAACAGAACCACCGCAACAACCTTCTTCACTCAATAGGCCTTCCCTCTCAACCAACGCCCACAATGGTTTGGGTTAATTTGCCATATTGGTTGTTGTAGTTTTTCTTATATATATGTTATTTTATTCCCTTTATATGTTTATTTTTTATATGTTTTTTTTAATGTTTTCATTACGTCTATGTATATATTGTTCTTGTTTACTTTTACGTATTTATAATTTTGTTTATAAACTTAAAGTTCAGAAACAAACAATCTATATCCATTATGGAAGTGTAGTTATTGCCTTCGAAACGTTTAATAAACATGAAATTGTTCGCGATTGTTTTAGTCTACCTTTTCATGCTTACGATACGACGCCTGAGTGGCAAACTTTTTATAGAGTACATAATATAATGTATAATATACATGGACATACATGCACAAGCGCGCGCGCACACACACACACACATATTCATTGATGTATATGTACAAATTTATATGTATATGTACAGACACACAAACACACACATGTATATGTAAGTATATATATATATATATATATATATATATATATATATATATATATATATATATATATATATATGTATATATATATTTGGATATAAAACTTCAAAATAGTTTTATGGCAAATTGAAAACGTTTATCATTTTCACAGATATGAAAAAAAAGTGGGAAAGGTTAGGTTGTTGCTATGAATTAATTAGATTGCTTTCGCAGAACATCGAAATTTATCACACCTGTCAATGAATCATACGGATAGCTACGTACCTACATCTATAAAAACTATAAAAACTATAAAAAAAAGATAAAGGTTAGGATGCTCCTATGAATTAATTGTATTTTCACAGAACATCGAAACTTATCACTCCTGTCACAGCATCATATGAATAGAGGACGGAGCTAAGTACCTCTATCTCATCATAAATAAGAGCAGGTAGCATCAGTTGTTACATATGGCCTTGTCGAAGCAACGTTCAGCGAAGGTGAGAGCCAAACGCAGCACATTGTTACTGTGCTGTGTATAGTGTTCACGTACCAATACATTTTATTTCATTTTCCAGTTTTGCCTAATTCTTTGGAGTATTTGCATAAAATGTTTAGAAAAAAAACTAGATATAAGATGTTAAAAGACATGTTATACTCCAACTTTATTTGCATGTAACGGAAAGAAATAATGACGAGTCGTAGTTAACATCAAATTTTATTCTATAATTCATTAGTTAGCCCGTTGATCAAGGTGAACAAAAATTTCGAAAATATGCTTAATGGCGAATCTACTGTTTATGTCGGACAGACGCGTAATAATATCTCCCGTATTACGAAATGACTCGGTTTATTTCTGCTGTCATTTTTGAACGTCCTCACTTAGCAGTGTGCGACGCATGCGAAGCGTGTTTAATAGTTTAAAAAGAACCGTTGACATGGCAAGTAAATAAAAAAAAATACAGAATGAAATCAAAGAAAATGATGACGAAAAGAGCTGAGATAATAATAAGAGTAAAGTGAAGATAATAATAATAATGATAATAGCATTGAGGTTATCCATTAGGATCATGATTCTAACCATTATCTTTAGGCAGTTAGTTTTGAGACGTATCGTTCGGCGATAAGAATTTGACGATAAATATATGCGCATACATTTTGCCTGCTGTTATCAACAGACAACTTTCAAAATGGAATATTAATCCTGAATGTGTATCGAGAAATATTTCTTTAATTACATTCGAATACGCTTGCCTTACTAAATCATGGTCTTCATTTTACTTACGTAGGGCAGATCAGAGTCACTATGTAAAATTTGTCATATAGGCTTTCTGTGTATATTTTCTTGTGTTATTCAAAGCCTGTCATTACAAAAAATATCATATTCAACAACATTCATTGTAGAACGAAGATGAAGGTGGTTTGCAATGTTGTTAGTCATTGCACTAGGGTCTGAGATGCCCAAGTTGGGAATCATTGAAGGTAAGAATGAGTTTGTCTTTGTATGTTACCTGTCTTTGCCTGTTCTCACAAAAAGACAGGGAAAAGATCAAGAGTGAATGAGAGGGAGGGATTCATGAATACAAAATGTGTGTGTGTGAGAGAGAGAGAGAGGAGTGCTGTGTGGGGAGAAACGAAACGTCCTTACAATTATATTCTAACAATAAGGTCTGTAACTATAAAATGTTTAGATTATAATGCCAAGAAACTGCAAGATTATTTCACTTACATTTATTCTGCCTTCTCATCTATAATTATTTCTGTCTCCTACATCACCACCATAACTGAAATTACAACCATCATTATCATTGACATTTTGTTTATAGATATTAGAATTATTACAAATATCATTATTATTGGCATATTCTTTATTATAATTGGAAATATCACATCATTATTACTGGCATATTCATTAACAATAGAAGCATCACTATCATTATTATTCTCATTAGCATGACCAATGGTGTCACCAACGCTGTTATCAACACAACGGTTATTCGCAGATAACATTGCCTAAGTGAATCGAGGGAAAAACCCCGAGAAAGTGTCGCCAAAGGACCATCCCGGAGCATATGTACCAGGTGGTAAAAGTTGGAAGTCGATTGAAACTCCAGCTGTTCTGAACATTTCGAAGGATGAGAAGGGAGAAGAAATTGTTTGTAATTTATGAGGTTTAGCGGAGTAACGTGCATCTTTCGCACACACACACACATACAGTAATGAATAAAGCTGAATAAGGAATAAGAGAGAGAGAGAGAGAGAGAGAGAGAGAGAGAGAGAGAGAGAGAGAGAGAGAGAGAGAGAAAACAATAACGATAATAGGGGTGAATGTGATTTTCTCTTTCGTTTGAGGTAAATCTTCGTGTACAGTGAAAATTATGATGATTCAAATGTGTTAGCCTAATGTGTATTTCAGTAATCTGAATTTTTGAGTATTCTACTTTCCTCATAATCTGATAATTACTGCTTCTGATAGCATTTCAAATTGAAGATCAGTTATAACAATGGAAGTATTTGCATTTCTTTTGTAAACAGTGTTTCTACATCAAGCTTCAATCACGGACTAACACAACTGCTGGAGAAGGATAAAACAGAGGAAGACATGGCTACCAAGAATATGAAGGTTTCTCATGACTCGCCTACTTACATCCATCAATCCCTCTTCAAGAGTTCTGGCCCGCGGTCCATCGCAGCAGCAAGAACAGGCTTCATGATAGACAGCGCCATAAATTCGTCATGGATCGGCAATACACGCATTCGTGTCTTCGTTACATCTTAGCTATCAATCTTTTTTCAATCAGGTTTTGTAAGTAACTGAACTTATATGGTAACAATATTCATTAATACATGCATTCTACTTACATTTTAAATAATAAAAAACACAACTAATGATATATCTACCTCCTTTTACAGCCTACAATTAAACAAAACCGACGTAACTTTCGACATCATGCTATCGGACCAGCTGGCCCAGGACCAGTTCTGCAATCAGGGCCTAGTTTCGTCCTGCGAGGCCTTCCGCCACTACAGGTCCTCCAACGGTATATGTAATAACTTGGACAACCCTCTGTGGGGATCCACTTTCAGGCCCTTCCGCCGTGTTGCTCCGCCCGACTATAGCGACGGTGAGTGTCTCCAATTCTTAGCACTGAAGCTACAATCGCGCTTCCATGAGTGCTTGCCTTCTGCCTTTCCTGTGTGGCATGATCACGATTTTTTAGAACTTGGTGTACATTCTCGCGATTTCATTCACTAAACAGCATCAGTGCGATATGAATGACTATTTCATACATTGTAGTATTTTTCACAACTGCAGGAGTGTCGAGCCTCCGCCTTGGCCAGGACGGGCAGCCCCTTCCCAGCGCCCGCCTCGTCAGCAGTGCAATTAACAACATTCGGCCAAACAGGGAATCTTCATTCCTCTCCGTTCTCCACATGACCTACGGACAGTTCTTTGACCACGACCTAACCTTCGCACCTTTGAATAAAGGTCCAGTATATGATAGTAACAAAAATCAAACGTTAAACTCTTTTAGGAGTCGGCTTTCAGAGTTTTCCAAAAGGACTGAAATCATTTCAAAAGATGTCTCAGGAATAATAGTAGACATTTTGTGAGCAAAAATGTAAGTCATGGACTATCGACCAGCAAACTTACAAAAGTATCCTATGTCCTCGGTGCATGAATATATTTGACTTATTCACTTTCCAGGTATGTATGGTGAGGCGATTCCATGCTGCCTTCAGGCCGAGGACAATCCGACTTTACTCCATCCTGAGTGCGCTCCCATTCCCATCCCTGCTGACGACCCTTTCTACTCCAAGTTCGACCAGACGTGCATGGATTTCGTCCGCTCGGCACCTGCCCCACGTTGCTTGCTGGGTCAGTCCATTTTCTATGCTGATTAATTAAGTCTGTTCAACAGGCATTGTAGGAAAAATGTCAGTTTGTCCAGCTGATTTTAGAATTAACTTTTGATAGTCGTTACCCTATATTAATTTGATTATTCTTTATTTTGAAACAGTCTAAAGCCAGCGTCAACTAAATTTTGCAGACATGACTTATAGCTGGGCTGAATAAATGATCAGGGAAGTGTATCTCAATTTCTAGATTCAATAGCATAATCTTATCACGTATCATATATCACAATATCGTTAGTGTGTAATGATATTAATCAGATCTTTGTTCAACAATCTAATGGCTGCAAAGGGTTCTGTATGAGAAGCATGGTTTGTACCAGAAGGAAAGAATAGTACCTTGAAATAAGTAAGCAATTGCAATTGTAAAAACAGCACTCAATATCATGGTAATAAGTCATGAATCAAAACAAGAATTAACGATAGAAATATAGCATCTATGTGAGCTGTGTGCTGCAGTGGACTTGTTTTTGTCTAGCAATCTTGTTGACCTGTGTTCAATTCTCCACAGATGACCCAAGAAGGTGAGGTGCTTCTTCCTGTAGACAGAGACCTAGCAAACGAGTGCAATAAGGAAGAACAAGCTAACATAAACCGATTTTGCTTCCGGGCCGGTAGGTTGACCCTTCTGTTCTCTGTCCCAGTTTGGCTTTTAAAATGTATATGATTATTCCCTCACAGACTCGTATAATGGTGTATTTGTTAGCTTGGTGTCTTTTTATTAATGTGGCTTTAGCGCAGGTATTGCATACCTACAAAACTAATGATAAGGATGCAACAGGTGACATGAGAGTGAATGAGCAAGTTCTGCTCACTGTTCCACACTGTGTGGGTTCGTCACCACAACCATCTAGCGTCTCGCCTGAAGAGTATCAACCCATCCTGGGATGACGAAAAGCTGTTCCAGGAGACCCGCCGAATCGTTGGCGCTCAGCTCCAACATGTCACCTACGAGTACCTGCCGCCCATCTTCGGTAAGTCCTATATCAGGGCATATGCAACTTATTTATCTAGTTAATAGACAAATAATCAAATGAAATCGTAGGTCTGTATCTACATATGCACACAGATATACACATATACTAATTTAATTTCCTGCTGAAACACACGCATAATTCGTCTTTCAGGTAAAAAAATCATAAAAGACTTTAAGCTGAAACCCTTGAAGAACAAGAAACGAAAGGTCTTTTATCGCCCTGACAAGAGCGCTGCTATTAGTGCTGAATTTGCAACAGCAGCCGTCCGTTTTGGATACAGTGAGATTGCTGTGAGTTAATCATTTTTTCTTATTGGCTGATGCATTTTTTCTATTATCTAGATTAGTATACATTCCATGAGTTGTTTTAAAAATAAATCTTTGTTAGGATTCGTTGAATCCAGATGAATAATTTGAAAAGAACTATCTTTGTGAACAGCAAGATATTTGCAGAAAGTATGGAAGTTTTAGAGTAAATGAAGGGTGGACCTGGATCTCTTTAACTTATGCTTTCATGTGATATACTTTGATAATGGGCTCCAAGGACCTTTTATCAGATCTTATCTAATGTACTAATTTTGTCTATCATTCTTCTCTCGTTGTAGGGTCACATGGAGAGAGTGGATGACTTCGGCGACATTTCCTCCACCGAGATGTCTTCGGTGCTCATGAACCCCTTTATCGTGTAGACGAAAGGTGCGGTACCGCAGCTGACGCGAGGCGAGGTTCGACAGAGCGCGGGTCACGTTGACCCCTTCTTTACACCACAAGTGAATATTTGTGCAATGAGTCTGGTCTCGTTAGATATGCTATAAAGTTTGAGTAGAGTGAACAATGACTGTTGAGCCTTGTCCCATGAAATGGAAATTCGTTATCTTTGGGTTTCTAATATATCTTGAAACTTTCTGCATATTAGTCTTTTAGTACTATGTTATATTTACAGTATTAAAAAAAAATCTAAACTTAGATACTCGCGAACAGGTGGCCGGCAATCACTTCAAAGGGAAGAACTTGTTTGGACTCGATCTGGTGGAGCTCAACATACAGCGTGGGTGTGACCATGATATTGCCTCCTATACGGCGGTCAGAAACTCATGCGAACTGTCTCCTCTTCATGACTTTGGTTATCTCTCGGGAAAAATGGATGATGATGTGATTGCAAAGCTTGAGGATGTATACCGGTATGCCATTCCTTATCTATATATCTGTGATCCCCCCCACCCCCGTCACCCTTATATTATGCATATAAGCATTATACTTTGTTATTTGTGAATATATTATCCATGTGAAGTAGATGAATATTTCATCACTCAAAGCTTATCTTTTAGTCATGTGCATGACATCGACCTGTTCGTCGGTGGTTTGGCTGAGCACCCGATAGAAGGAGGGGTAGTAGGTCCCACCTTCGCTTGTATTCTGCTGGACCAGTTCCTTAGGCTAAAAGAAGGCGATAGATACTGTTACGAGCCCAATGACAAGGACACAAGGTTTACAAAAGGTAAGCGAAATGTGGTTGATATGGCTTTCCCATGGAACTTAGTATCTACTTCTATTACTTTTATTGTTTTCGTGCTTCCATAATGGTCTTGTCCTTTTAAACTTCTCAATATATTTTGGTAATTTGTTTTGATATTGTCATTTCAGAACAAGTCAAACAAATTCGCAGCACAACCTTGACAGGCATCATGTGCGAAGTGATCCCAGAACTGAAGGAGATTCAGGCTGAACCTTTAAAAGTGGCATCCTCCGAGAAATAAATACTACCTTGCTCTTGTTTCCCGGAATTGGATCTCAAACACTGGAAGGAATAAATGAATCGAAGGAAGGATTCTTTGAAGTCTCGCAAAGGTTGATTTGGGCACTACAATCAGATATATTTTTGATGTGTTCATTGTAGACTTTTGTCTGGTCGGGATATTATATTTATATATGAATTCATTAAAGAGTCCTTTCCACATAATTGTTTGCAATATCCCCCAAGAGCAAACTGACAGAAAATTACCATTGGCGTGCAATATTTATTATATATATATAATAAATCATCATATTAACCCATTGCTGCCGGGGAAAATGAAAAAAAATGGGGAAAATGCTGTGCCTATTTTCTATACATTTTTGTTAAATGTCTGCCCATAGATGGCTCTGTAAGCGGCTGATTTGAAACATGTATTTTTCACTAGTGCCATGAATATCGATGGTGTTATTTTTATCATAAACATTGTAATTTTTGTAATGTTTTTTAACATTAGTAACAGCAAAATAAGATACCGTAAAATATTTCGTAAATCAAAGAAAAGCGTGAACGGGCGAGACAGGCGGTACTCGTAACTGGCAAATTGGTAATTTAGTACAAGTGTAGCCATCTATGTGTGAAAACAATCTAACAAGTAATCTCACAGTGGCCATGGCATGGCATGCCCGGCGGGAATGGGTTAAGCAACACAGTGTTCTCGATTGTTTGCTACATCGATTATTATGATGGTAACACTTGTTTACCCCCACACCCCCTTCCAAAGGATATTAGGTGCCATCCTTACCAAGGGTACCATTTGGGTGTGGCAGCAGATGAGTGGGGGTGTGGGTTGGAGGCAAAGCCCGCAAATGAGCTCTACAAAGACAGTGTAAAGAAGAATCATTATTTCATTCTGCTGACGTCTACATAGAGTCGGCAATAGAAACAAATTTTGACTTATTCCTGGTTTACCCCTCTTCTGTTGTGCTCCCAACACCTCCTAGTTTGACTCTATTCTGAGAAATTAACAAAACACATGTGGCAGACAGTAAATGTTGAGCCCTTAGTTTACTATGTTTACTATGCAAGTGTTATAATACATATGGCTATATACTATTTATATTTTCCCCAATTATCTCATAATCAAAGCTTAGAGATGTAAGGTATACTCCTAGCTCAAGGCCAGGTACCATCCGTACAGAGGAGCCCGAATTCAAATATCCTGTGAGGCGGGAGAGGCTTAGGGACCAGTTGAAAATTGAAGTTAGGGTCCCGTTCACTCCTCTTGAAATGAGTCAGTAATACTCCTTTGTTTTTCTAGTGTCCTTCCGTCCTTCCACTGTAGTGATAGTAGCAATAGTAGTAACTATAGCAGTAGTGATAACAGTAGTGGTAGCACAAGCAATAGCAACAGTGGTAGCACGAGCAATAGCAGTAGTAGTGGTAGCACGAGCAATAGCAGTAGTAGTGGCATCACGAGCAATAGCAGTAGTAGTGGCATCACGAACAATAGTAGTAGTAGTGCTAGTACGAACAATAGCAGTAGTAGTGGCATCACGAGCAATAGCATTAGTGTTAGGCACAGAAGCGTGTGGTAGAAACAGTCGGGAATAAGGGTAAAAATAACGAACAGGAAAAGTAAAAACAAGATTCCGATAGCTCAGTAACAGTATTAAAAGTATGGTAAAAGCAGAGTAAAAGAATCGATAAAAAGATCAGTAAAAGTAGAGTAAAAATGACAGTAGAAGTGGAGAAGGATCAGTAAAAATACAGGAAAAAAGTAAATGTTCAGTAAAAATAATTGCAAATAAAAGGCAAACACTTGATACATATATACACTTAAAAAAAAAACCTAGTATTTAAAATGAGCATCACTGGATTTAGGTTTTAAGTTATTTTAAGTTATTTGAGCTTCATCTATGTAAAATATTATATGAATTGCCTTCAATTATGCTTAACACGTCCAGCAAAAAACTAGGCAAGTGAACAAGAGCCAGTGCAACTTTTGGTGTATATTCGCAGAGAGAGGGGGATGTGGCACAAACAAAGTTCCAGTTGACACTTTATTTGTTGCTTGAACATTTGAACTCGTGACGTCACAACATACTGACTCGTGTTTCTTAATAAAAACTAAATAAAATCAAAGAAAATACATAATGTCATTGAAATTATTTTTACATAAAAAAATAAAAATAAAAAATAAAAATACTAAAATCATTAATAAAAAGCCATAAAAACGTGAACTAAAAGAGTTTATGAATAAACTCAAACATACTAAAATCATAAAACAAGAAAATTAAAACCCGTGAATTAAAAAAAAAGCACATTAATAAAATAAGATGATAAAATAGATCAATACTACATGATAAAAGCATTAATTAAAAAAGTATTTAAAACTGATTATTCAAATGTGCAGTATCACGTCACGAACTGAGAAATCATAAAAAAATGGTAGCAGTAAAACAAGACCTTAAAATAATACAAAACTAAATAAAATACAAATCTAATACATGAATTAAATGTAGAAAGAATAAAACAAATACAATTAATAGAAATAAAAGCGAAAAAAAAAAACGGGATGGGGAGTAAACTATGGGAATCACGCACGTCACGCCCGTCATCCACGTCAATGGTTAATTCCACAATGTTACCATAAAAACAATATTTTTTGGAATCATAAATGACTGAAATATGGTTTCAAGCCACAAAATAAGCATTGATCTAATCCTGCCTGAATTCCTGTGTTGGTTTAAGATGCAATTTCCGCTGAATCCTTTGAGTATGAAGGTTGATCTAACACATTTTTTTTTCGAATTGAAAGTAACCTCTCAACCCCACACTTCCTAACTATTTGTCCCCTTTAGAACTTCAGTGATCTCAATATGAAACCGAGATTTACCATTGGAAAAGTTTTAAAACTACGCAAAATTCTACGGATATCTGCGTCTATGTGCGTGCGTGCGTGCGGGTTTGCATGTGCATGTGCGTACGAGCGCGACCGTGTGTCAAAGTACATTATGATAATAATATGTTATATTTTTTAAAAGGGTTTATAGAAAATTATTCCAAAAAGTGCGATTGATAATACTACTACTTCACCTTTTAATTTCTATAACTCCAATAAAAAAGAAAGAAAGAAAGAAAGAATCCGCCTGTTGTACATTTTCTAGGAAAGTGTATATTAATGTTTTACATATATATGTACACACACGCGCACACTCACACTCACACACATACACACACACAGACACACACACAAATACATATATATTCATATATATATATATATATAAATATATATATATATATATATATATATATATATATATATATATATATTCATATATATATATATATATATATATATATATATATTCATATATATATATATATATATATATATATATATATATATTCATATATATATAAATATGTTCATATATATATATATATATATATATATATATATATATATATAAATATATTCATATATATATATATATATATATATATATATATATATATATTCATATATATATATATATGTATATATATATATATATATATATATATATATATATATATATATATATATATATTCATTATATGTATATATATATATATATATATATATATATATATATATATATATATATTCATTTTTACATATATATATATATATATATATATATATATATATATATATATATTCATTTTTACATTTTATATATATATATATATATATATATATATATATATATATATATATATATATATATGTATATACATAAATATATATATGTAAAAATGAATATATATATATATATATATGTATATATATATACATATATATATATATATACATATATATATATATATATATATATATATATATATATATATATAAATATATTCATTTTTACATATATATATATTTATGTATATATATATATATATATATATATATATATATATATATATATATATTCATTTTTACATATATATATATTTATGTATATACATTGAATATATATATATATATATATATATATATATATATATATATATATATTCATTTTTACATATATATATATTTATGTATATACATTGAATATATATACATATATATATATATATATATATATATATATATATATATATATATATATATATATATGTATATACATAAATATATATATATGTAAAAATGAATATATATATATATATATATATATATATATATATATATATATATATATATATATGTATATACATAAATATATATATATGTAAAAATGAATATATATATATATATATATATATATATATGTATATATATATATATATATATATGTATATATATGTATATATATATATATATATATATATATATATATATGTATATATATACATATATATATATTCATTTTTACATATATATATATTTATGTATATACATATATATATATATATATATATATTCATTTTTACATATATATATATTTATGTATATACATATACATATATATATATATATATATATATATTCATTTTTACATATATATATATATATTTATGTATATACATATATATATATATATATATATATAGGTGGGTGCTTCATGCTCGGGGTGATGTGAAGCGATGGTGTGGAAGCCTAGGTAGTGTTAAGTGCTTGCATGCCTTGTCGCTTACAGCTGCCACCGCTGGCTAGCCTGGTGCGAAAAGGGAGCAGCTTTGCATAAGACTCCCCTGCCAGCTCATAGCCTCTCTATCATCAAGACTTCGGCAGTGCCTCCTTGTGGCCACCCATGGAAACTAGGCACCTTGCGGTCCTAGGCTGAACTGTGGAGGCTCTTGGAGCAGCAGGAGGCCCTAAAGGTACGGAGTCATGGCCCACCGGCGTGTGGACATTCCCTGGCTTCATACCAAATCCTGCCCCCGTGCCCCCTGGGGTTAATGGGCGGCTTTGGGGAAGTAATCCACTGGCAACAAAACGTATAGGTGTTTGCGCTGGGGGTAAGGCTAAAGTCCCTCCCACCCAGCAAGAACGGCAGGCTGTGGGTCCCTCTGGGTTGGCGACCGCTGGGACTCGGGTGGGGAGGGGGGGTTACCCATTATCCCATCTGGGTCCCAGCGGCCGCCAGCCTGGCGTGATGCTTGTGGGGGGAAAGCCCCCGGGAGCCCTGCAGGCGGATTATGGGGCCTGCAGCCAGCCAACCTCTATATGGGGCGGCGTCGGTAGGGGTGGCAGAGGTAGCGCCCACCCGGAGTGACTGCCAGAGGTTAGACCTCAGGCGGGCTGTCAGGGTGGGGGCTTGGAACGTCCGTTCCCTGTGACAGGATGATCGGCTACCACTACTGTTGAGGGAATTGAAGCAGCTGAAAGTTGAGGTGGTTGCTCTCTCGGAGGTGAGAATGCAGTTGTCCTCGGCGAGATATTTGTATTGTTCTGGGCGGTATCCGGATGTGATCGAGCTGGCTACGAGATGTCTGTCGGTCCCCATGGCTCAGGAACTGATGCTGGCAGCGAGAATAGCCTCCTTTTCCGTGACTTTGCTAGGTCCCAGAAATTGAGGATCTCTGGCTTCTGGTATCAGCGCTCTGACCCGCATCGCTGGAATTGGCAAAGCGATATGGGTAGTGTGGCCAAGGAGATAGACCACATCTTCGTCAGCACTCGGTGGAGGATCTTCCAGACCTGCAGGGTGTATCGAAGCGCCGAGTTCTGTGGAACTGATCATAGATTAGTTGTGGCTACTCTCCAGGTCCACTTTGGAACCCCCCGTCGACCAAATGAACACCCCAAGGTGTTTCATCTGGACAGACTGAGGGAGGACGAGTGTGCCTGGGGGTTTGCTGAGGCTATCTCTGGTCTTCTCAAAGCACTCGAGGACCTGACAGACCCTGTTGTTATGTGGGTTTCCTTCAAGCGTGAAACGCTTGATTCAGCTCAGGAATCCATTGGTGAAAGCCCAAGAGCAAGACAGAATTCCATCTCGCAGGAGACACTGGAAGCCACAGAAGCTTGTCGTGTGGCTCGATTGTCAGGGGATCGCAATTTGCACCGTTCTCTGGCGTGCAGGACTAGGTCACTGTTGAGAAGGGGTAAAGAACAGCTCATCAGTAATCTTGCAGAGGAGGTCGAAAGCCATTTCATAGTAAATGACCTTCGTCCTGCCTACCAAGCCCTGAGAAAGCTGAACTCCAAGCCCTCCTCACAGACGACGGCAGTCTGCTCAGCAAGTGGCCAGGTAATCTCAGATCCTGATGGGGTGTGTGTGCGTTGGGCTGAGTATTTTGAGCAGCTGTATCAGGTTGATCCACCAACAGTTAACTTGAATGCTGGTAATGTTGAGATTCCTCTGCCAGACCCACCCATCAGCGAGGATCCACCCTCCTTGACTGAAGTCAAGGGGGCGATCTCCAAGCTGAAGAGTGGTAAAGCAGCAGGTGTTTGTGGCATCCCAGCTGAATTGTTAAAGGCTGGTGGAGAACCTATGGCAAGGAAACCCTAGTGGCGGCTCTTGGTGTATTTAGCAATGAAGCAAAGCCCCTGGGGCTAGAGGTCTCCTGGACCAAGACCAAGATCCAGGATTTTGGGGGCCTACTAGGAGACCCTGTGCAGTCGGTACATGCTTGCGGTGAAAACATCGAAGTCACAAGGAGCTATATATACCTCGGTATTGCAGTTCATGACTCTTGGCTGTCAGACCAGGAAGTCAGTAGACGGATTGGCCTGGCAGCAGGGGTTATGAACTCTCTCGACAAGAGTATTTGGAGATGCCGGTACCTGTGCAGAAGGACCAAGCTACGTGTTTTCAAGGCCCTGATACTGCCAGTTTTACTATATGGTAGTGAAACTTGGACGCTATCTTGTGCTTTGGAATCTCGTCTCGATGCCTTTAGTAACAGATCCTTGCGCCGGATCATGGGGTACAGTTGGCGGGACCATGTGTCCAACCAACGGCTACACCGTGAGACCGATACAGGACCTGCTACTTGCACAATCCGTGATCACCAACTCAGGCTATATGACCACCTGGCTCGATTCCTGCAGGATGATCCTGCCCATCAGGTTGTCTCTGTCCGTGACAACCATGGGTGGAGGAGGCCTGTGGGACGGCCGAGAAGGTCGTGGCTTGGGCAGATCGATCAAACCTGTCGTAAGGAATTAGAGATGGGGCGGGCCCCTGCTTGGCGGCTCGCCATGAGGGATCCTGGTAGGTGGAGGCAAAGGGTGGATGCGGCTATGCGCCCCTGCCGGCGTTAGCTCCTAATTGATGATGATGATATATATATATATATATATATATATATATATATATATATATATGTATGTATATATACATACACACACATAAACGTTTGTGTGTCTGTGTGTTTGTGTAGTATATATATATATATTTATTTTTACATGTATACATATATATATATATATATATATATATATATATATATATATATATATATATATATGTACATATATATAGATGTTTGTATATATGAAAATAGATATATTTCTATATACATATTTGTGTATATATACGAATATATATATATATATATATATATATATATATATATATATATGTAGATATATTTATATATACATATTCATGTATATATACGTATAAATATGTATATACATATATATGTATATATATGTGTATATATAGATGTATATGTGTATATATATATATATGTATATATATATATATATATATATATATATATATATATATATATATATATATATGTATATATACATATACATAAATTGAAAATATTTGTCCATTTTCAGTATTTATTTTGGCTGTTTCCTTGCATTTTGTATACTCGTTACTGCGTTTCCATTCAAGTTCATATATATATATATATATATATATACATACACATATATATGTATATATATACATATATATATATACACATATATATGTATATATT